GAAGACGGGGTGCCCTGGGAGAAGCCAGACATCTGCTGATCCATGAATATTCAGCAAGATTGGCATGGGAGCCTGCTCTGGCTGCCGGGCTGTCTTGCCACTGGCCAGGGCTGCTGACAAACCCAGCAGCTGCCCAGGGGCCCCAACTGTTCACATTGTTTGTTCAGCGCGGCAGGGGATTTTCCAAGCCTGGGACAGTGCAGTGAGGGTGGGGAAGCTGCCCGAGGGCTGGGGATTGGTGTTGTGTGGGACTGTTCTCCCCTGAAACCCAAACCAACTGCTTTAAGTACTGGGAGGTTGCTGGGCTGGCAGCCCGGCCTCGCCTGGCGGAATCCGAGGCCTGGCTGCTTAGAAAGCCATGAACATTTGCCTCTCAAGAGGGCATTCCCACTCCTGCAGTGAGGCATGTGGGACCCTGGGGCGGGGGCCCCGGACTCACTCTGCTCCAGCCTCATGCTTGTTTGCACACCTGTGGAAGGGTAGGTGGCTTCTCATAGAGCTCACAGGTAGGGCAGGGACGGTGGAACCTTGCTCCAAGGCCAAAGGCTCTTTCCACCTCTGCCACTATGGAAACTGAGCGAGGGCAGGGGTGGACGCCCCCACCAGGGCCTCAAGGTGTCCAGCAGAGCCCTGCTGACGGGCTGGAAAAAAGGCGATGGTCCAGCTCACAGCTCATCTGTCAGCCTTGCTCATCTAAGCCACTGGTGACTTCTTTTCTTCCCCAAGTCTTGTCCTTCTATTGAAGTAGTGAGAAGGGAACCTGGGGTCCACACACAGGCATGTGTGTGTGTGTGTGTGTGTGTGTGTGTGTGTGTGTGTGTGTGCAGGAGGTGGCGTGTGATAAGCGTGATGGAGACAGGTGTGTGTGTGTGTCTGCCAGTTCTGTGAGTATATCTGAGATGGTGTTGTGTTTATTCTGAAATGTGTGTCTATATCTTTGGATACAATCATAAAATTCCAGAGATCACCTGCCATGTTCCAGTAAACTGAGGGCCACAATGGGAAATGGGGGCCAGTGTGGTGGTGCAGTGTAGTAAGCCACTGCGTGCAATGCAGGCGTCCCATGCTGGAGCGCTGGTTCAAGTCCCAAGTACTCTGCTTCCCATCAAGCTCTCTCCTAGTGAACCAGGGAAGGCAGGAGGAGATGGCTCATGTGCTTGGGCCCCTATTATCCATATAGGAAACCCCCGTGGCATTTCTGGTTCTTGGCTTTGGCTTAGCTGAGCCCCGCCTATTGTGGCTATTTGGAGAGTAAACCAGTGGATAGGACATTTCACTGTCTCCTTCTTTCTTCTGTTGCTGTGTCCTTCAAGTGTTTTTAAAGATTCATTTACGTATTTATTTCTATTTGAAAGACAGATTTCTTTATATGCCACATTTTAAAAATTATATTTTTAATAATCTTTACATAGTTAATTAGGGTTGAAAGACAGATTTTTATAGAGCGAGTAGAAGAAATAAAAAGAGGTCTTTCTTCTGCTGGTTCCTTCCCAGTTGGCTCTGGCAATGACCAGAGCTGGGCCGATATGAAGCCAGGAGCCAAGAGCTTCTTCCAGGTCTCCCACATGGGTGCAGGGTCCCAAGGTTTTGGGTCATCCTCCACTGCTTTGCCAGATCATAAGCAGGGAGTTGAATGGGAAGTGGAACAGCTGAGACATGAACCGGCACCCATGTGGGATGCCAACACTTGCAGGCTGAGGAGTAGTCTACTATGTCAGTGTGCTTGCCCCAAATATAAATTGTTTTTTTTTTTTAAAGAAGGGGAAATGACTGACCCAAGGCCACACGGTTGGACTATAATGGAGGAGTCTCCTGGTCTCCCAGGCACGGTACTTTGTGCTAGGCCCCTGGGATGCTGCCCTGCCAGAGCCTAGACCGTAGTTTTGGCTTGTGCTCCTGGATCACACTCAGAGACACCATGCTACTGTGAAGTGAGGCATCAGCCAGAGGCTACGAGGGGATGTCAGGCCACTGAACATTGCAGGACAGGCAGGCATGGGGTCATCCTCTTGCGAGACACACCTTGGAGGACTAGTCCTTTCTCTATGGTGATGGTGACTGAGATGCAGGTCAAAGTCGTGAATATTAGTCTCAGCACGATAGCCTAGAGACTAGATCTTCACCTTGCAACCGCAAGGATCCCATATGGGTATTGGTTACTGTCCTGGCTGCTCCGATTCCCAGCCTTCTCTCTGCTTATGGCCTGGGAAAGCAGTTAAGGACAGCCCAAGTCCTTGGGACCCTATATCCATGTGGAACGCTGGGAAGAAGCTACTGGCTCCTGTCTTCATATCAGATCAGTTCTGGCCGTTGTGGCCACTTGGGGAATAAGCCAGCAGATGGAAGATCTTTCTCTTCTCTCTTTATATCTGTCTTTCCAATAAAAATAAATAAATCTTTTAAAAAAGAAAGAAAAAGAGCAAAGTTGTGAATGTGGCCTTATGTTCTCTTCTTCTGAACCCTAAATGGCAGGTGTTGCCTTCCTCCATGCAAAGCCAGCACTGGAGTCTGTAAGCCCCTCTAGGGCTTGGGAACCCTGCCTGGGGGCTGACCCTGACCTTCTGTGTGGTCTGAGGGAGCTTAGCTCAGGCTGGCATGCTCAGTGTCTCCAACGCCTGCGCAGGAGAGGGTGCTGCTGGCAGAGCTCAGTCCCATAGGGAACTTGCCCGCAGTTCCACTGGAGGAACCCAGCTGCTCTCTGCGGACGTGGAGCCCTTCCTTTCTTCCTGTCTGCCTGCCTTCATTCTGGTTGGCTCCACACACCAGCTGGGACTTCCAGTTCAAGGTTCCAGGTTGGCTGCTCCATTTCTGATGCAGCTCCCTGCGAATGTTCCTGGGAAAGGAGTGGAAGATGGCCCCGAGTGCTGTACCCTGCATCCAAGTGATAGACCTGAAGGAAGATCAAGGCTTCTGGCTTTGGCCCGGCACAGCCATTGTGGAATACTCAGATATGGTATATGGGTTTTCCAGGAGATGACAGCTTGTTGCACTATATATACACCTGTGGGACTTATTTATGTTTATTCAAGATGTATATGTATTCACAGATACACTTAGCTCATTTTCTTTCTCATACCTGCGAGACATCTTTTTAAAAATTTATCTTTTATTTGAAAGGCAGAGTTACAGAGATGAAGAGGGGGAGAGTAAGAGAGGGAGGGAGGGAGAGAGTGAGAGAGAGAGGAAGAGGAGAGCTTCCAACGACCCAAATGGCCACAATGTCTTGTAGTTGGGCAAGTCCAAAGCCAGGAGCCAGGAGCCAGGAGCTTCTTTTGGTTCTCCCACATGGGTACAGGGGCCCAAGGATCTGGACCATCCTCTGCTGCTTTCCCAAGGAGCTGAATGGGAAATGGAGCAGTCAGGACCCCAACCAGCACCTATGCAGGATGCCCGCCCCTCTACAGGTAGAGGCTTAACATACTATACCACAGTACCAACCTCCAGTACTATCTTAATGCTTACAACAGTCTTGTGAGGAACAAGTTACTGTGTGTGTGTTTTATTATTTAGATACAATTCACAGACCACGGAGTTCTCCTCTGACAGGGTATGAGCCAGTCATCCTACTGTATGTGTAAGTCTGTGTGGCCATGGCCACTGTCTCCTCTGGAACTTCGCATCATCCCCAAACAAGACTCAATCTCTTCGCAGTTTTCTCGCTGTCCTCCTCTTGTTGCATCCAATTCAAGCCTCTCCCCAAGAAATGCAGCCCAAACAATTCTGCAAAGCAGCAAAGTTTATTGAGAAGACAGGCAAACAGACCAACCGGCTGAGGTCAGCTCTCCTTTCCTTCATAGAGTGACCCTGAGGTGAGGGTTAGATGGGTTTTTATAGAAAGAGTGAGTTATACAGCCATGGGCACCAGGTGAGTTGGGCAGCCACAGGAGGCTGCCAGAGAACAATGGGTGGACAATGCTTGCGCTATAGCAACCGCAGGAGGCTGCCATGGGGACAACAGGTGGGCTCGGGCAGCCATAACAGGCAGTCATAGGAACAATGAGTGAATAAATCATATAATGTTGATTCCTGGAACCAAGAGTTGCTGACAGGGCATGTTATCCCTTGTGCTCTGGCCAAAAAGCAGGAAACTGGCAAAGCATTTTGTACAGAAATATAAAGAGCAGGTTAGCAAACTTATGCAGGCGCGAACCGAAGTGGCTCCGTTTTGTGACTGGATTTTACACTCTTCCCCCTGCCCTCCCCAACTCCCCCATCCCAGCTCTGGCTAGAATACATCGACTCTCTATTTGATTTTTTTTTTTTAGTTTTGAGATTTATGTGTTTATTTGAAAAGCACCATTGCAAAGAGACAGAGGTCTTCCATCCACTGGTTCACTCCCTACATGGCTACAACAGCTAGGGCTGGGCCAGCTGAAACCAGGAGCCTGGGTCTCCCACATGGGTGCAGGGGCCCAAGTGCCTGGGCCATCTTCTGCTGCTTTCCCAAGTTACAACAGTAGGGAGAACTGAACTGGAAGTGGAGCAGCTGGCACTCACACCAGCATCCATGTGGGAAAAGTGGTGGCACAGGTGTCAGTTCAATGCGGTGTGACCCAGTACTTGCCCTCTTTTCTGTCCTGATGGGTTTGCTCATCCTGGCTGTTTCACAGAAATAAGCACACAGAGTGTGTGACATGTGGGACTGACTTTGACTTACTGTAAGGTTTCTGGAGTTCAGCCACAATGTGGTATGTGTCTGTACCTGATTCCTTTCTGGGCCGAGCAATGGATTTACTCATGCCTCAGCAGGTAGACACTCGGCTTGCATCTCCTGTCTGGCTGATTGAGTCTTTCTTTGGATGGAAGAACCGAGCAGTACAAGATGGTCACAGAGGTGTGGCTTTCCAGGGAAAGCTGGGATGCAGACCCAGGGTCTTCCTATTTGACTTCTCTGCCTATGATTGCCCCCTCCCTCTCTTGAGGGAGAGTGACTCAAAAGCAGAGGCTGGGGGAGGTGGGAGGACCCCCACTGATGGCTTTATATCTCCTCCTCTCCACAGGGGAGCTGCTGTTGCTCCAGGAGACAGCTGTGCAGTTGAGCTGTGACACAGGGCCGCTGCAAGTGATCCTGGGTCCAGGGCAGGTTGCTGTGCTCAACTGCAGCTTGGGGGTTGCTGCTGCTGCTGGACCCCCCACCAGGGTGACATGGAGCAAGGATGGAGACGCCCTGCCAGAGCATAACCACCTGCACCTGCTGCCCAGTGGCTCCCTGCAGCTGTCCCAGCCCCTAGCACCTGATGGTAGTGACGAGGCAGCCCCTGGGGCTTCGGGCATCATTGAGGGCAGCTACTCCTGCCTGGCACACGGCCCCCTCGGAGTGGTGGCCAGCCAGGCTGCCGTGGTCAGACTTGCCAGTAAGTGCCTGCATCTTCCCACTTTCTCTACTGCCCTCCCTCCTGCTTTCTAGTGTTTGGGATTTTAGCAACAGCATCAGGCATCTCCTGGGGAGTCCCTCCCGCACAGCAGCAGGTGCAGTGTATGCAGTCAAGGCCAGTTACACAGCCCAGAAGCACAGATGGCTTGAAATCATTTGCAGGCCAAAAAATTTGGCCTTGCTGAAGTCTGGCCCTCTTGGAGGTGGGAGGGGGCAGGGGGTGCTGGGCTCCATGGTTTCGGCAGCATCTAACCAAGAGTTGCTACTTCTCACCCCTCACTACCTCTCTTCAACTGCCTCTTCCTGGTCTGCACTTGCTGTGCTGTATATCCATATGTATATCCATGTATCTGTGTGTCTGTGTGTCCATCCATGCATGCCTGTGTGTGTGTGTGTGTCTATTCTCCTGCTTCTCACTTGCAATCTACCTCTCCAGAGCTTGCAGACTTCTTTCTGCACCCGGAGCCACAAACGGTGGAGGAAAATGGGACCGCTCGCTTTGAGTGCCACACCCAGGGGCTGCCAGCGCCCAACATCACCTGGGAGAAGGACCAACTGCCGCTGCCTGAGGAGCCTCGGTGAGTGCCCTGTGCCAGGTGGGTCCCAGCAGGTGGAGGATGCAGAGGAAGGGTGGTGTGGGGCGGGGAAGGGGGTGGTCTCTTCTGCCCAAACTGCCCCAGGAGCCTGCCAATCCCTGACTTCAAGTTCCTGTCTAGACTGGGAAGAACACCTGGGTGGAGAGGCTAGTGGTAGTGTCCCCAGGCCCGAAGCGAGGACAGACACCTGCTTTCTGGAGGACACTTAGGGCCAGAGAGGCCCCATGGAGAGCGAGTGGCCACAGTGTTGGGGCTCTGAGGTATTGGAAGGGCTGTCTCCCCTCTGCAGTTTCCTCCTGAGCCCATAGTGTCTTTCCCCCCTTGGTCTGTCCAGCGGCATCATGGTGCTGGGAGGTGGGCAGCTGTCTGATGAGTGGATTGTAGAAGTCCTTGCTGTTTCACCTCCTCTTTCCCCATCAAAACGATGGACTGGGGTGGCAGGGGGCAGTTCCAGGGAGGGGACACAGCAGCTGCACCCAGGCCTTGCTCCCTGCTGGGGCTCCAGGGAAGGCCAGGCATGCTCTCTGACCTGCTGTCCTGCCTCGGTCATTGGACATGGTGCAGTGAACCAGCTGGATCTGTCCCCTTATCCCCTCAGGTGGGAGTGGGGTTCCTCGGGCTCTAAGATACTGGACCCTGGAGTCCCCCTTCCTCCCCAGGATCACAGGCTGTTAGATAGCGCCGGATTGGCCACACCCCTCAGGCTTTTGTCCCAGTCTGAGTTGGGGTGTGGATGTAGGAGACACTTGGGGGAGAGAAGCCACGGTAGGTTGTGGGAGCCAAGGAGAGGAGAGGGGGTATGAGAGAGCCTGCCTCCCTAAGCAGCGGGTCAGTCCCCGGTGGCTCTCAGCGAGTCACTCCTTTGTGCCCACCCTATGCCAGCCCCACTCCCCTGCTGTCCCCAAAATGAAAGGAAAAGAAAGGACCAAATTAGAAACCAGTTTCCCAAAAAGCAGTCTCTGTAGAATAAAAGTTCTTAAGAATTCTTTTTATAAAGATTCCTTTATTTTATTGGAAAGGCAGAGTTACAGAGAAAGGGAGAGGCAGAGAGAACTTCCGTCCTCTGGTTTATTCCCCCAAATAGCCACAATGACCATGTCTGGGCCAGTCCAAAACCAGGGGCCTGGAACTCCATCTAGGTCTCCCTTGTGAATGCAGGAGGCCAGGCACTTGGCCTTGCCCCACTGCTTCCCCTGGTGCATTAGCAGGGGGCTGGAGGGAAAGTGGAGCAGCCAGGACTTGAATCCAGGGTCTGCAATGTAACCCACTGGTGCCACAACACCAGCCTCTCTAAGTAGCCTCTTTTGCCTACTGTGCACACTAGATGCCTTGCATCTTTGATTTAAAACAAAATGGGGTCCTATCACAACTTGAATTTATTTTTACTTGACACCTAGAGAGTGCCCTTTCAGATCTGTGTGCGTGGTTGGGATGGTGCTGTGAGCTGGGCTATTCTGTAAAGGAAAATTAGAGCTGGGAGTCACTTAGCCCAGATCCTACAGCTTGTCCTTGGAGTGTGGGGCACCCAAGCTCTACTGTGGGTGACACTCCAATTTCTGGCAGGTGCAGAGTGGAGGTTGAGTGGGGGCTGCAGGTGCCATGAGGAATCTCTGGTCCAGCATGGGCTCAGAGCAAAGAAGTTACATGCCCCCCACTACATTTTCCCAGCAAACAGAGGGGTTTGACCCTCCCCTCTCAGCATCTCGCTCAGACCTCTGATCCTTTGAAGCCCCAGGCCAGAGCCTGGGTTGTGGGAGTGGTCACCCTGCTGTGCTCTGAAAAATGATCCCCATCTATAAATAAGCGTGGCTCACTTGTCCCAGCACATTGTGTGTGTGTGTGTGTGTGTGTGTGTGTGTGTGTGTGTGTGTGTGTGTGTGTGTGTTGGGGAGTGTGGGGGTTGGGATAGGGAGTTGTTTCAAACAGCGATTTGATGATGCCCACGGTATGTATTTTGACGCATACCCAGATAGACTGTGTGAACACATGGCGCTGTTCAGGAACCCAGCCCTGGGGTTTGAAGGAGGGTGGGGGCTGGGCACATGTGCGCTGCATGGACACACTCAGCCGATGCGCAGGTGTGCGCTTTTGGAACTGACAGTGCACACCAAGCCATTCTACAGGTCCTACCCATATGTCCACTTATCTGGGAGTTTGTCTTCCATAGGAACTGGTGACAGATGCTTCCCACCTGCTGGGCATGCCCAACTGGCTTCCTGAGTTGGTCATCTTTTTTTTTTTAAAAAAAAAGATTTATTTATTTATTGGAAAGTCAGAGACAAAAGAGGAAGATCTTCCGTCCGATGATTCACTCCCCAAGTGAGCCGCAATGGCTGACACTATGCCGATCCGAAGCCAGGAGCCAGGAACTTCTTTCCAGGTATCCCACACGGGCACAGGATCCCAAAGCTTTGGGCTGTCCTTGATTGCCTGCCCAGGCCACAAACAGGGAGCTGGATGGGAAGTGGAGCTGCCGGGATTAGAACTGGCGCCCATATGGGATCCTGGCGCGTTTAAGGCGAGGACTTTAGCTGCTAGGCCACGCCGCTGGGCCCGAGTTGGCCATCTTTATACCATTTCCCCTGTTGCTATTATTTTTCTTTTTTTTTTTTTAAAGATTCATTTATTTTTATTGGAAATACAGATTTGTAGAGAGGAGAGAGAGAAAAAGATCTTCCATCTGCTAGTTCACTCCCCAAGGGGCAGCAATGGCCAGAGCTGAGCTGATCCAAAGCCAGGAGCCAGGAGCGTCTTCTGGGTCTCCCATGCAGGTGCAGGGTCCCAAGATTTTGAGCCATCCTCGACTGCTTTCCCAGGCCACAAGCAGGGAGTGGATGGGAAGTGGAGCAGCCGGGATGCAAACCAGTACCCATAAGGAATCCTGGCGTCTTCTTGTTACTTTTCTTTATCTCAACTTGCTCTAACACATATAAAAACAAACAAACAATACATTATCAATAAAACAGAAATATTAAACATCCTAAATAAAACCAGGTACACTGAAAATAGAAGATGCAGATAAACCTGCCACCACTGGAGTAAAACAAATGAGCGTCCAGCAGAGCCCCTTGAAGTCCTTGTGCTGCCATTATTTGCTCACATTCCAAGAACACAAGAAGTAGTGGACCTCAATAGCCCAGGTTCCTTGGTGCTGTCTTCTGCCCTGCTCGCTCCCGTGTCTGCCATGGGCTCTCAACCTCACGTGATCCCGACCTCCCACGGGCGGAGCTCACAGCGGCTGGGGCGGGAGCTCCATGGCTCTTGGGAAATTCAGAGCAGCTGTGCCGCTCCTTCTGTGTCCTTGAATCCAAGGGGTCTTTGGATTCTTTGGATAAAGAATAATCCCATCCTTTGGCGTAGGCTTGCCTCCCATACCTAGCACGTTCCTCCAGTTTGATGCATGCATTTTTTGTTCATTGATCAGTCATGCCAACATTAACAAAAAGGACAGAAAGTTACCCACCAGCTGAGCCCAGCTGTGGCCATATGCAGTGTTCCCTGGAAATTTCATAAACATTTCCCTAGAGCCTGTTCCCTTCCCAAGCGTGGAGCTTTCAGGTCAAGTCCCTTATCTGATGGGGAGCCGCTCAGCGTTGTTGAAATGAGCAGGAGGGGAACTCGACCCATTTCTCAGATGAGAAAATGGTGGCTCGGAGATGCAGTGCCACCTGCCAAAGCCACACATGTTGGAACCAGTTCTCTCCACCACACCACAGCAGCTTGTCTTGTCAGAGGCTAGAGTTGCAAAACAAAGTGAATGGGAACACATGCTTTAAAACATTTGAATTTAAAATTTTTTTTAGATTTCCAAACTAATACATATTCATTGTAAAAACACAGATTTTCACAAGCACAACACATAAGTCTCCAATCATCCCACTCCCATGAAAGGAAGGAAATGGCTCTCCAACCTGCCATCCTTGACTTTCTCTGGGCACATCCTACCTGTCAATTATCTGTTTTCCAAAAATAGAATTGCCTCATGGACACCGTTCGATGATGTCTTCCTGCCCCACTAACCACATACTTGGGCGGCTAAAAATGCAATTTAACAATTCTTTTTTAAATCCAGAGAAGACTTCTTACTGTTATTTCTTGTCATCTATTGAAAGGCAAAATGACAGAGAGAGAGAGAAAGAGAGAGAGAGAGCAAGAGAAATCTTCCATCTGCTGGTTGACTCCCCAAATGCCTACCGCAGCCTGGGCTGGGCCAGGCCGGAGCCAGGCGCCAGAAATTCTACCCAGGTTTTCCTTGAGCTGTCACCTACCCGTTGCCTCCCAGCATCCACTTGAGCAGGATGTTGGACTAAAAGCAGAACCAGGACACGAACCAAGTCGCCCACATGGTTGCAGGGTCCCAAGACTTTGGTCATCTTCCACTGCTTTCTGAGGTCGCAGCCAGGGAGCTGGATAGGAAGTGGAGCAGCTGAGACACGAACTGGAGCCCATATGGGCTCCCAGCACATACAAGGCAAGGATTTTACTGTACCGTGCCCAACAAAATGTAATTAAAAAAAATTATTTTATTTGGGCCCTTGTAGTCCTTGGGTCCTTGAAGCATGATTTCCCTGGAAAGACCTGTGAGATCAGGAAACCAGGGTAGCTCCTGGCCATGTTGTAAGCTCAGCTAGGCGGAGGCAGGATGGAAAGAGGAAGAATGCAAAGCCAGAACATGATGGAGAGTCCTGGATGAGGGACATCCCAGCTATTCCATGGCAGCAAGTGGGACCCAACTCCAAAATTCTTCCTCCAGGCACTCTTGCCTCCCTATGCCTTCACCCTCGACCCCCTAACCAACCTCAGCACTCTTGGGGGGCCTGAGAGAGGCTGGGCAGAGGCACATTGTCTAGGGGCGAGGGGAAAACTAATGCCACTTTATGTCTCTCTCTGAGGGGTTTTTTTTTAAGTCTTATTTATTTTTATTGAAAAGGCAGATTTACAGAAAGAAAGAGAAACAGAGAGAAAGATCTTCACTCCCCAAATGGCCTCAATGACCAGAGCCGAGCTGATCTGAAGCTAGGAGATAGAAACTTCTTCCAGGTTTCTCATGTGGGCAGGGGCCCAAGGACTTGGACCAATTCAGCTGTTTTCCTAGGCCACAAGCGGAGAGCTTAATGGAAACTGGAGCAGCTGGGACACGAACAGGTGCCCATATGGGGTGCTGGCACTTAGACACAGAGGACTAGCCAGTTGAGCCAACATGCCAGCCCCCTCTCTGAATATTGATGTGTCCGAGTCTCCAGGTCCTTGGGTCCCTCCTCTCCCATGTTTTTTTCTTTCAGGCCCTGTTCCCCAAACAGCTAAAGGTTCTTGCCCTATTGCCCCCCCTGCCCTACCGCAGTCTGCAGCCCAGGAGCCAGCCCCATTGGCTTTGCTGAGAGATGCACTCTGCCCTTGGGACTGGCCCAGCAGGGATCGCCACTTGCCTGCTCCTCACTGCACCCACCCTGGTGGAGTCTGCCCTGAATCATGCTAAGGGCCTGAGCAACAGGCTGGACCCCACTGGCCTTGCATCAGTGTTGACGGATGTTGCCACGGGCAGGCTGGGGCGGGGAGGGGAAACATGGTGTTTGGCACCGGAAGTTCAAGTTTTAACTCCATCCTAGCTATGAGAATCTCAGAAAACACCCTCCTTCTTCTAAGGCCTGTTTTTACATTTTTTTTTTTTTAAGATTTATCTATTTATTGTGGCCCGGCATGATAGCGTAGTGGGTAAGGTCCTTTCCTTGAACGTTCTGGGATCCCATATGGGATTCCGGTGGCCCCACTTCCCATCCAGCTCCCTGCTTGTAACTTGGGAATGCAGTTGAGGACAGCCCAATGCTTTGAGACCCTGCACCCATGTGGGAAACCTGGAAGAGGCTCCTGGCTTTGGACTGGCTCAGCTCAGTTCTAATCCTGGCTGTCCCACTTCCCAACCAGCTCCCTGCTTGTGGCCTGGAAAAGCAATATAGGATGGCCCAAAGCCTTGGGACCCTGCACCCACATGGGAGACTTGGAAGTGGCTCCTGGCTTCGGATTGGCGCAGCTCTGGCCATTGCGGTCACTTGGGGAGTGAATTAACGGACTGAAGATCTACCTCTCTGTCTATCCTTCTCTCTATATATCTAACTTTCCAATAAAAATAAAATAAATCTTTAAAAAAAGAGAGAAAGAGAAAGAAAAATCTGTCAGTTCACACCTAAATGCCTGTAGCTGACAGGGCTGGCTCGGACTGAAACCAGGAGCTTAGCACTCCCTTGGGGTCTCCCACACGGGTGTCAGGGGCCTGAGCCCTTGAGTCATCAGCCACTGCCTTCTCAGACACATTAGCAGGGAGCTAGATCAGAAATGGAGCAGCTGAGACTCGAATCGGTGCTCTATGAGACACCACTGTTGCAGGTGGCAGGTGAACGAGCCAGCCCCAAGCCTTGGTTTTGTCACCGAATGGAAGTTGTATTCCTTTTGGGCTTATTTTCCAGTCAAATCTGTTGATGTGTATCAAAGAGGAAGGAGGAAGTAACAGTCAGGAAGTAAAACTATTTAGACTGGTGGCCAGTGCGATTGCACAGCAGGCTAAGCCTCCTCCAGCGGCACGGGCATCCCACGTTGGTGCCAGTCTGAGTCCCAGCTGCTCTACTTCCAACCCAGTTTCCTGCTAATGGCCTGGGAAAACAACAGTGGAGTCCCAGAAGAAGCTCCTGACTTCTGGTTTCAGATCAACTCAAGCTCCAGCCATTGCAGCCATGTGGGGAGTGGGCCAGCAGATGGAAGGCCTCTCCCTTTCAAATAAAAATAAATAAATCTTTAAGCAAGTAGACTGGACGGAAGCCCCTCCTCACCATCTCCCAACCACAGAGACATTCAGTGCCCTGACAGGTTCATAGGCAGAGACCCCATTTATTATTTGGGATCATTCCCTACTGGCACACATAGGACAGCCACCTGGGTACCCACCCTGATGCACCAGTCCCCGCCTAGATGGACAAATGGAGTGTTTCTGGTCTTCTCATGCAGGCCTGAGTGAATATCCTGTGACATTTCTGTGGGGTCAAGTTCCAGAGGGGGCATTGCTGGGTCAAAACAACTTTGGTGTTAGGATGTGTCCAGCCACCATGGCACGACCACCAGCAAGGCAGCTGTCCTGCCTCCCCCTAACCATGCCCCGCCCCCATCCCTTCCTTTCTAACCCTTCTCACGTTTACTGACCTCACAGGTGGAGAAGGCCTCTAGCCTGCCAGGAGCCCCCGCTGCAGCGGAGCCCCTGTGTGCCTGCCTCACAGCTGCCCTCTCCCCTCGCAGGCTCATCACTCTGCCCAATGGAGTCCTCCAGATCCTTGACGTCCAGGACAGCGATGCCGGCTCCTACCGCTGTGTGGCCACAAACATGGCCCGCCAACGTGTCAGCCAGGAGGCCCTGCTCAGTGTGGTCCCCAGAGGTAAAGGATAGGGATGGGAACCCTGGGAGCGGGGAGGGATGCTGATTCTGGAGTCAACCACCTAGGAGCCAGCAGGTGCCTCAAGAGGTCCAGGCTCTGCTCTCACCTAGGTGACAGGTGCATCAGTCCCCTGGGGCAGAAGTGGGGAATAGAAGCAGGACTGGCTGCCAGGGTTCCCACTAGCGGGGCAATATACAGCCCCTTGCAGGATCTCTGCGTGTGTGAAGCTTGGAGGGGAACAGGGAAGGGAGACATCTGAGGATGCTGTCCGTGTCCCCTCCTGGGAAGCCCTGTCCCTCCTACCCCACAGTATGCCCCGAGGGCTCCAGCGCTGAGCTGTCCATCCCACCCCCACCCCATGCCTTGGCTGCCATCCTTCCCTCCTCCTTTGAAAAGCCCCTCCCCCCATGTGACAGGAGGGACAAGGGCACAGGTTCTGGGTCAGAAAGACCTGGTTTGAATCCTGCCTTCTCTGCTCACCATCTGTGTGACCCTGGGCACCTTCTCAAATTCCCAGCTAAGAAAGAGCATCAGAACAGTCACACTCAGAGGGGAACACGGCCACCCACGGGGGCTCTGCTGATTCACTCCTGACTTGTCCCTCCTCCGCCTCGCCTGCCTCCCACCTCTTGTCACCCCCCAACTCCCACTCTTGGATTAGGAACCACTCTCCAGGGCTGAACTGGTGGCGGAAAGAGGTGAACAGCACCCCAGCTACTGTGTGTTCCCACCTGCACCTGGGGGTCTCTGCTGCCACCTGCTGGTCAAACCAAGTATTCGCTGTTCTACTCAGCAGGCCAGGAACGCCCCCAGCCCCTGGCAGGGAGTCAGGGCTTGGGGAGGTGCCAGGCCCACAGCAACTGGAGCCTATCCCCTCATCACCTTTTGCACATGGGAGCCTGTGGCCCTTTCGGAGTGGGATTTGCTTAAGGCCACACAGTCACAACAGTGCTTCAACTGGAAACTCTTTTCCAACCAAGTCAGGCGCTCCACCTGCAATGCCTGCCGTTCTCTATTTAGAGTGAGTGGACTTAGGAGGGATGAATGGTGCTGCTGTGGCCTACCCAGGGACTACTCTGGTGCCAGGTCAGAGGCCAGGCTATTCCGGCTCTGAGATAAAGGGCTCTGATTCCCAGCCAGCTCTGTTGGACCTGGTGACTGCTTTCTGCAAGCATCAGATGGAGCCCTGGCTGGTTCTGGGCCGCACCTACCCCACCAGGTCACTGAACATCTGGCCTGGCCTCTCTCTGTAGGGTCCCTGGTGTCTGCTAGGGAACAGGACGTGGTCATTGTGGCGGCACCCGAGAACACCACCGTGGTGTCTGGCCAGAGCGTGGTGTTGGAATGCGTGGCCTCGGCTAACCCAACCCCTTTTGTGTCTTGGGTCCGACAAGGTAAGCAGGGAGGAAGGGACAAGTGGGAATCTGAGGTCAGGGGAAGGAGAGGATGTGGCATCTCACATACCTGCAATCCAGGGAGTGGCATGAGTGACCACTCAGTGGTCCCCAACCTTCGTATGCCATCTGTGCCCGCCCCCACAACCAGCGTGTCTGGTATGGCTGCTCAGCATGGGCATGGCAACAGCACAAACAGATGAGAGAAGCAGAGACCTGTCCCTCTGAGCTTACAGTGCGAGGAAGGAAGGAGTTCCACAGTCTCGGGGCAGCAGGCGAGAAGGACTAAGGGGGCAGAATTCCTGGAGCTGCCTCGGGGCTGGGGCTGTGACAGGTGGCACTTTGCAGCCTCCCAAGCAGACGTCCTGTCCTCACCTTCAGGGCCCCTTTGAGGAGAGGCAGAGCCACAGGACTCCTCTTCCAAAGGGAAAGATTACAAAACTGGGGTTTGGGGAGAGGACAGCTGAGACCCAAGCTTTAGAAGCCCCAATGTGCTCGTTGCTGGAAGCAAGACTTCTCCAGTTGCCCTTGGTTGCTAGGCAACCTGTCCCAGGCTGCTAGCAGAAGTGAAGCTACAAGGTGGTGTTCTTTACATGAACGCATCCTGTCAGCTCTGTATTGCTTCCTCTCTGTAAGTTTACATCTCTTTAAAAAAAAAAAATCTTATTTTATTTGCAAGGCAGAGGTTGAGAGAGAGCAGAGAGAGATCTTCCATGTGCTGTTCCATTCCCCAAATGGCAGAAGCCAGGAGCCACAGGTTTCTTCTGCGTCTTTCCTGTGGGTGTAGGGACCCAAGAACTTGCGCCATCTCCACTTTCCCAGACCACCATTCAGGTCAGGGGAGGGTCTTTGGCGTAGCAGCCGGGACACTGCATGGGGTTCCTGCAGCCCAGGTCAGTGTGCGGGGCTTCCAGTTCCAGCTTCTTGCTGAACTAACCAGGGAAGGTGGTGGAAGATGCCCCGATGGCTTGTGTGTCTGCCACCTGTGTGGGAGCCCGGGAGGACCTGGCCCTGGGCTTCAGGCTTGCTGACTTGGCTGTTGGAGTCATGTAGGGGTAAAGCAGCAGATGGCTTTCTGTCTCTCTTTCTCTGCCTTTTGACTTTCTTTTCTTTTCTTTTCTTTTCTTTAAGATTTACTTATTTTTACTGGAAAGGCAGATATACAGAGAGGAAGAGAGACAGAGAGGAAGATCCTCTGTCTGATGATTTACTCCCCAACTGAGCGCAATAACCGGTACTGTGCTGATTCGAAGCCAAGAGCCAAGAGCCCCTTCTGTGTCTCCCACATGGGTGCAGGGTCCCAAGGCTTTGGGCCGTCCTCAACTGCTCTCCCAGGCCACAAGCAGGAAGCTGGATGGGAAGTGGGGCCACCGGGATTAGAACCAGTGCCCACATGGGATCCCAGTGTGTTCAAGGTGAGGACTTTAGCCGCTAGGCCACCACACCAGGCCCCACTTTGACTTTCAAATAGTCTTTAAAAATACTTTTAAAAATGTTACTGTAGGGCCTGGCACGGCAATCTAGTGGCTAAAGTCCTCACCTTCATGCGCAGGGATCCCATATGGGCACTGGTTAAGCTTCTGTCTCCTGGCTACAGAGCAGCTCAGCTCTGGCCATGGCAGTCACTTGGGGAGTGAATTAGGGGATGGAAGATCTTCCTCTCTGTCACTCCCCTCCTCTGTATATCTGACTTTCCAATAAAAATAAACAAATCTTTTAAAAAATATTATTATAGTGCATTTTTTCCTACAAATATTTATATACATGTTAAAATTTTCCCTAAAATTAGGAAAATGTTTTCAAGATGTGCATTCATTTAGTAATATGTCATAAGCATCTCCACACCTCAAAACTTTTCCCCAAACTATTTTTAATGTCCATGTAATGGAAAGTCTTCCATCTGCTGGTTTACTCCCCAAAAGGCTGCAACGGCCAGAGATGAACTGATCTGAAGCTGGAAGTCAGGAGCTTCTTCCAGGTCTTGTACATGGGTGCAGGCTCCCAAGGACTTGGATCATTCTCTACTGCTTTCCCAGGTCATAGGCAGGGAGCTGAATTGGAAGTGGAGCAGCTAGGACTTGAACCTGCACCCATATGGAATGCTGGTGGCTGCAGGTGGAGGACTAGCTTACTACACCACGGTACCAGCCCCTCTACATTCAGTTTCAAAGAGATGCATTCATTCATTTATTTAAAATGCAGAGATAGAAAATGAGATAGAGAAAGCAAGATATAACCCCCATTCACTGATATCTGCAAAAGCCAGGGTTAGGCCAGGCAGAAGCCAGGAGCCAGGGGCTCCATCCGGGTCTTCCACATGGGTGGCAGGGACTCAAGCCCTTGTGTCATCAGCAAGGAGGAGGGACTGTCTGGTGTGGGCTGTCACCATCCCAAGCAGACTTAGCCTGCTGTGTGTGCAGCAGCACCTGTCCCCACATCCGTGTTGCTAGGATGCGCGTCTTTGGTTCCACGTAGGTGCTCACGCTCTGCTTCCCGGCCCTCTGCAGTTATTCCTGTGGTTAGGCCAGAGCTTGTGCGCTGGCGCCCCTCTCCCTTGGAGCTCTCTGCACCTCAGCTCTGTCATGGCGCTGCGGGAGTGAGGAGTCCCTTCGGTCTTAACCTCCCACCACCTCACCTGAGGCTGGGGGGCTCGCCCCAGGAGGTCCTGTGATTGCAGGAGAGTTGGGTGGGGGGACTTGTTGGCTCCCCTTCTCGGGTATGGAGGGTTCCGGTTTCTGAGGGCTGGAGAGAAGACAGGAGGCAGCCCCCTGCGCCTCCCTGCAGCTCGGCTAGCCCTTCTCCCTACCCCACCCCTCCGCAGACGGGAAGCCCATCTCCACCGACGTCATCGTCCTAGGCCGCACCAACCTGCTCATCGCCAGCGCGCAGCCCCGACATTCGGGCGTGTACGTGTGCCGCGCCAACAAACCTCGCACGCGCGACTTTGCCACGGCCGCCGCCGAGCTCCGCGTGCTGGGTGAGTCGCGCGGCCAGGCGTGGGGGCAGAAGGGAACGCGGGCGGGAGGCAGAGGAACTCCCGAGGTCTGATCCTGGAGGTCGGGAGGGTCGAGGGAAAGACAGGGCTGATGGGGAAGAGCCCTTCGTGGACGGGATGGAGTGAAAGACAGGAGGCTGACGAGGGCCAGGCTGGAGTCGTCTGGAGGCGACGGTGGAGGGTGGGATCGGGTGGCACCTTGGGAGCCAGGGGTGGAGAGAAAATCGGCAAGTGCTGCAGGTGCCAGGGCGGCAGGTATTTAGGGGGCAGGGGAGGAGACCTGCGACAGTTTGGGGACAGGAAGCTCTCCAGAGATCATGGGATCATGAAGACACGGAGCTGTAGCGAGGCAGTAGGGGCTGGGAGAATCCCAGCGTGGCCACAGGAGGGAGTGGGGCTGTCGGGGTACCCGGGGCCGGGGGAGTCCGAGCCCCTGACGCCCGTGCTCCTCCTGCAGCGGCCCCGACCATCTCGCAGGCGCCCGAGGCGCTGTCGCGGACGCGGGCCAGCACCGCGCGTTTCGTGTGCCGCGCGTCCGGGGAACCGCGTCCGGCGCTGCGCTGGCTGCACGACGGAGCGCCGCTGCGGCCCAACGGGCGCGTTAAGGTGCAGGGAGGCGGCGGCAGCCTGGTCATCACGCAGATCGGCCTGCAGGACGCCGGCTACTACCAGTGCGTGGCCGAGAATGGCGCGGGGACGGCGTGCGCCGCCGCCTCACTGGCAGTAGTGGTCCGAGAGGGCCTGCCCAGCGCCCCCACGCGTGTCACCGCCACGCCGCTGAGCAGCTCGGCTGTGCTGGTGGCCTGGGAGCGGCCAGAGCTGCACAGTGAGCAGATCATCGGATTTTCCCTGCACTACCAGAAGGCTCGAGGTACGATCCCAGGCGGTCAGGGGATGTGGGGGGACACCTGGGGTGTCTTGATGGTGCCACGGGGCTATGGACTGGATGGGTTGTACACTTCTTTTCAGCCTGGTACGGGAGGGGTCAGGTTCTATACTCTTTTGTGTTCCCGGGGTCGTCTCCCATCTTATCTAACCAACCACAACAGGAATCATCTCAGTTAGACACCCAGAGGAACTTCCTCAGAAACGAAGGGACTCTACAACCGGGACAACAAGAAGGAGCCCTAGACAGACAACAGCTGGTGCAGGGCTGGGGTGACCCTGTGACTGTCCGCCTTTTGTCTCCTTTGCCAACCCCCAGGCATGGACAATGTGGAATACCAGTTTGCTGTGAACAATGACACCACTGAGCTCCAGGTTCGAGACCTGGAGCCCAACACAGATTATGAGTTCTACGTGGTGGCCTACTCCCAGCTAGGGGCCAGCCGCACATCCACCCCAGCACTGGTCCACACCTTGGATGACGGTAGGGGTCTCTGGACCTGACAGCTGGGGCCCAGTGCCTCCCCCGGGGCTCCAAGGCACCTCTCTTTACTTGTAACTTTCTTTACACCCTGGGAGGGAGTGACCATGGCTGTTCCTCCTAAGTTTCTGATTAGGAAACTGAGGCCCAGAAGAGGAGACAGACATGGCCTGGCCATGATTTCAGTTGAGGCTCCAGCTCAGGTGCTATGGTTGCCTCTGTTGTTCAGCTGCCCCTGACCCCCGTGTGTTACACAGAGCCCACTCGTTCTGGAAGGTTCTACCTCCAAACCCTTAGCAGCTTCCAAGTGGAAAGGACACAGCCTCCTGCTCCAACCTGGGGCTCCCCTGAGAGAGGCCTGCTTTGGGCTCGGGCCTCCTTGCCATGTGACCCAGGCCCTTGGCCCCCCAACCTGTTTCCCCCACCCATGCCAGTGATGCCAACTTAGCCAATGGACATGCTTCTGTTTCAGTCCCCAGCACGGCGCCCCAGCTCTCCCTGTCCAGTCCCAACCCCTCAGACATCAGAGTGGCATGGCTGCCCCTGCCCCCCAGCCTGAGCAACGGGCAGGTGGTGAAGTATAAGATTGAGTATGGTCTGGGGAAAGAAGGTGAGCATGGGGGCGGGGGAGCGAGTGGGGGTCAGCAGGAAGGGTTGGTTTTAGGTAATGAGGAGGGGGACCTTGGAAAGGAGTGTGGATTTGGGGGATTGGCTGCAGGGATGAACAGAGGTAGAGGGGGACTTGGGTCTGTGGTGTGTGCTCCTGAGCCTGGCTCATCCTTGGCATCCCTTCAGCCTAAAAGGTAGATGAAGGATGGGGAAACTGAGGCACGAGGACACCTGTGTTAGGGCAGGTGTAAGTGATGTATGGGTGGGGCTGGGAAACGGATACACAGGAGGCAGGTTAGTGGGGGTCAAGGTGAGGATGAGGAAGGAAGGAAGAGTGAGGAAGCAACCACGGGGCACAGTCATCGGGTTCTAGGTACCAAGCGACACCTGCTAGCCTTCCAAGTCAATCCCTTAGGCCTGTACCCCGGTGTGGCGGTCAGGGGTGAGAACATACCCGTCTTTTGCCCCGTGCCCCTTCCACTGCCCCAGGCTGTGCACAAGTGTAGTCGGGGACCCCAGAATCAACTCCAGGGTCAGTGCTGAGGCCTCTGACTCTGGTGGACACTGCGGAGCCAACAGCAGAGGAGCAAGCGACAATACGGGGGAGCCCAGGGTGGCCACCCACAGCCCAGCCCTCCCTGTGCCCGCAGATCAGATCTCCTCCACCGAGGTGCCGGGGAATGAAACCGAGCTGACGCTACACTCGCTTCTGCCCAACAAGGGCTACCGTGTGCGGATCTCAGCAAGTACAGGAGCCGGCTATGGGGCCCCGTCCCAGTGGGTGCAGCACAGAACTCCCAGCGTTCACAACCAGAGCCACGGTATGGCTGCCAGGACAGGGCAGTGCGCGTGATGGTGTGGGGTGGAGCCGAGGAACCCAGGTGGCCCCTCTGTCTGCTATGTGATCCTGCGTGCACATGCAGGGGCCACAGCCCGGAGGCATCACTGGCTGTGGAGAGGGGGCACAAAAGTGACTTGTGCATCAGAAATAAACTGCTTTTTTTACACAAGAGGTACACACGAATGAGTGATTAAATGCAGGCACAACTTGGGATGCGTGCCATCCATATGGGCATTGGATGACTTTTTTTGTGAGTCTCAGTTTTCTAATCTATAAAATGGAGGTAGCAGTATTGGGGGCTGTTTTGTAGGGTTAGGAGGACAAAGTTCTAACGCAGAGGCCTCGAGCGGTATCTCACGTGTAACAGCCCCTTGTGTCTTGGGCTCCTCGTGGGCTCTCTTGGTTCCACTCCTCTTCCTTCACCTGGGTAACCCCTCATCTACATCATTCCTTTGGGGGACCTGCAGTGGTGCCTCCAGGGGTGCCCCACCTGCTCTTCAGGTGCCATCCCAGCATCCTCAGCGCTCTGAGCCAGCTGAGCCCAGAGCTCCTCCAACCCAAGGTGACAGCCATGTGGGGCAGTCCTGGGAGAATGCTCTCACTGAACCCATCTTCCTGTCTCCTTCCCCCACCACCCGCCCACCTCACCTGCCCCTGTGCCCCCACAGTCCCTTTTGCCCCTGCAGAGCTGAAGGTGCGGGCCAGGATGGAGTCCCTGGTGGTCTCCTGGCAGCCACCCCCACACCCTGCCCAGATCTCTGGCTACAAACTCTACTGGCGGGAGGTGGGAGCCGACGAGGAACAGGAGGAGGAAGCCGATGGTGACCGCCCCCCGGGGGGCCGTGAGGACCAGGTGTGGGACGTGGGACCTGTACGCCTCAAGAAGAAAGTGAAGCAGTACGAGCTGACCCAGCTGGGTGAGGAGCGCTGGGCAGCAGTGGAGGGACAGGCTGAGGGCGTGTGGTACTAGGGGCCAGCGGCTGACTCTCTGTGCTCCCCCAGTGCCCGGGCAGCTGTACGAGGTGAAGCTGGTGGCCTTCAACAAGCATGAGGACGGCTACGCGGCCGTGTGGAAGGGCAAGACGGAAAAGGCACCCACGCCAGGTGAGGGTGGTGGGCAGGGCAGGGCAGGGCAGGCAAGCAGGCAGTTATAACCCATAGGTCGGGAGCCAGGCCTGGTGGGCCACAGGTGCGATCATCTCCGCCTACCTTCATGCCCATTCTCCCAGATAGATGCCTTCTCTGGTTCCTGATGGCTGCTGTTTGCACTTGCTTTATTTGTTTTGGTTTTTAAAGATTTATGGGACTGCTGCGGTGGCTTAGTTGGCTGATCCTCTGCCTACAAATGATGGTATCCCCTATGGCACTGGTTCGCGTCCTGGCTGCTCTACTTCCCATCCAGCTACCTGCTCATGAGCCTTGGAAAGCAGCAGAGGATGGCCCAAGTGCTTGGGCTCCTGCATCCACCTGGGAGACCCAGATAAATCCTTTGGCTCCTGGCTTTGACCTAAGTAACCACTAACCATTACTGTCATCTGGGGAATGGCCCAGCAGATGGAAAACTTTCTCTCAATTCTGCCTCACCAATAAAGAAATCATTTTTTAAAGATTGGAGATAAAAGGTTATCCCTGAACACGCCAGCAGGGAGCATGTTCCCATGGAACCCACTGGGAAGCTGTGATTCAGCAAGGCCAGGGGCTTGTGCAGGATGGCACCAAGCCCAGCCTAGGCCCAGGACCCTGGCTCCCAGGCAGCCATCTTCCCACCACAGTGGAACTGCACAGCGCACCATGGGGGACCTCCCTGGCCTCCCCTTGCCCCTGACTCCCAGGCTGGCATGCAACCCTGTGGTTTAGCGGGCTGAGCAAGCGCTCCAAGTCAAAACTATGGGTCCTGCAGTGTATTTGTTCAGTCCTTTGGCCAATATTTTACTGAGCATCTGGGGATGTAGTGATGAATGACCCAGATTAGGTCCCCCCGTCACTGATGGTGGTCTACATGTGTAAGGTAGACATTTTATCATTGGGAAGCCCTTCCCAAATGCCAGACATTTTCCCACCTGCTTTATAGAAATCGACCCATTTCATCCTTAAAACAACCCCATGGGGTAGGTACTGCTGCACTCCTCAGGGTAGGAAACAGAAGCACAGAAGAGTTAAGCCACTTCTTCAAAGTCACACAGCTAGCCAGAGGCGGAGAATGAGGAGTCCCATCTGTTGGTTCCACCTACTACCATAACTGGAAAAAGGCCAGGCTGAAGCCAGGAGGTGGAAGCTTCTTCTGGGTTTCCCATGTGGGTTCAGGGTCCCAAGGATTTGGACCATCCTCTGCGTCTTTCCCAGGTTGTAAGCAGGGAGCTGGATGGGAAGTGGAGCAGCCGGGACTTGAACTGACGCCCATAGGGGATGCTGGCACCTCAGGCAGATAATTAGGGTGCTATGCTACCGCATCGATCCCACAGCCTCTGTTTTCTTGCCTGTGAAGTGGGAAAGGTGCCTCCCAGCTCACTGCATGGACAGAGGGGGTGACCCAGAACTGTAAGCCACTTTTCACCGTGTTCTTCACTTTGCAGACCTGCCCATCCAGAGGGGTCCCCCGCTTCCCCCGGCCCATGTCCACGCCGAATCCAACAGTTCCACGTCCATCTGGCTGCGGTGGAAGAAGCCAGACTTCACCACAGTCAAGATCGTCAACTACACTGTGCGCTTCAGCCCCTGGGGGCTTCGGAACGCCTCCCTGGTCACCTATTACACCAGGTGGGCAGAGGGTGGCATGGGGGTTGCGGGGATACCCCACAGTGAGTGGTTGCAGCGGCTCTGCCTCATGCCTGCTGGGTCTGCATGCTCCTGCTACCTCCGGGCGTGTCCACCCTAATGGGCAGGGGCACTCACTTGCGGTCCAGCTCATGGAACGGGGCAGACCCTGCATCAGGGGCAGTTGAACCATGAAGTTACCCCACCAGCAGGACCCAGCCCAGTAGGAGATGCTGCCCGTCGGGTGGTTCCTTGGGTGGAGCAGAACTTGGTGTAATCCAGAAGGGTTTCCTGGAGTAGGAGGCTCTGGCAACTCTCCTGGCCCAGGTTAGGTCCTGTGGCTGAAGGCAGAGGAGCAGACTGGGAGAGATTGGTGTTTGCCTTGCCAGCCCCGGAGAAGACATCCTCATCGGAGGCCTGAAGCCCTTCACCAAATACGAATTCGCAGTGCAGTCGCATGGCGTGGACATGGACGGCCCTTTCGGCTCTGTGGTGGAGCGCTCCACTCTGCCTGACCGTGAGTGGCCCTGGGAGGAAGACGGGAGACTGTGACCTCGTGGCCTGCCTCCCCCAAGCCCACACTGGGCTCTCCACGACCCAGCCTCTTCCCATCCTCCCCTGCATCCCAGGGCCTTCGACGCCCCCGTCTGACCTGCGCCTGAGCCCCTTGACACCGTCCACGGTCCGGCTGCACTGGTGCCCGCCCACAGAGCCCAATGGAGAGATTGTGGAGTACCTGATCCTGTACAGCAACAACCATACTCAGCCCGAGCACCAGTGGACGCTGCTCACCACGGAGGGTGAGCACCAGGGCACGTTCCCCTCCCAGTTTCAGCTGGGTTAGCCTAGGGTGATGCTGCAGCCGGTTGCCGGGAATGGGGCTTCTTGGAGGGAGCCCCCAGGAGCCAGGGCCCGAGTGGGAGGAGCCGACTGTCAGCCCTGCCCCCCTCCAGCCTCAGCCATGCCCCTTCCCTCTCCCCTCCAGGAAACATCTTCAGCGCAGAGGTGCACGGGTTGGAGAGTGACACCCGGTACTTTTTCAAGATGGGAGCTCGCACGGAGGTGGGACCTGGGCCCTTCTCACACCTGCAGGACGTGATCACTCTGCAAGAGAGGCTGTCAGGTAGTGGGGAAGGGGAGAACAGGGTGTCCCCTACCCCACCCTATCCCAGTTCACATCCCCTGTCACCGGCCTGGTGGGGCGACAAGCTCCAGGGGTGAGTTAGGCCACCTGGACATGCAGGGCACCTTCATTTTAAGGAAGGGCTTTCAGATGGTGGCAGCCTTGGAGGAGAGGGGATGGGATGCCTTCTGGGGTTGCTGCAGGGAGTACAGTGGGCAGGGAGGATGGGAAGGTTAGTGGGGGGGGTCCCTGGAAGACCCCCCAGCCCCTCTTGTCCTCATCCCAGAAGATCATGGAGAGTCCTCTGGTGAGGTGCAGGCCAGTGGCATCCGTGCAGTGGGAGCTGCATCTCCTGGCTGTCACCCGCCCTGACCCTCTTCTCCCCGGCAGACTCCCTGGATGTGCATTCAGTCACCGGCATCATCGTGGGCGTGTGTCTAGGCCTCCTCTGCCTCCTGGCCTGCATGTGCGCTGGCCTGCGCCGCAGCCCCCACAGGTGGGCCCAGGAGATTGCCTCCACCCCGAGATCAGCCAGCAGGGACGGGAATGAGGTTAAAATGGGCCTTAGGCACTCCCAAGAATCCCTTCCCAGCTGGGATGTAAGGGGCGGGGAGTGATATATTCTTGAGAAGGAGGGTGGGTTTAGGGCAGCTCCTAGCCCCACAGTATGTGCTGCTGCTTTCTCAGTTGCCCCCAGCTTCTTGGAAGGAGGGACCCCAGGTCTTGGGATGCCTGCAGGATGATGGGACACCTTGAGGGGGAAGGAGGTCACCTGGACAGTGGCAGATGAGGAAACCAGGCTGCAGCGTCAAGCACAACCCTCCCGCAGAGCCCCTCACCCTCTGCCCATTATGCCTTGTTTCCAGGGAAGCCCTGCCGGGGCTGTCCTCCACAACCACCCCTGGCAACCCAGCGCTCTATTCCAGAGCCCGGATTGGTCCCCCAAGCCCCCCAGCTGCCCATGAACTGGAGTCCCTCGTGCACCCCCGCCCCCAGGACTGGTCCCCGCCGCCCTCCGACGTGGAGGACAGGGCTGAAGTGCACAGCCTGATGGGAGGCGGTGTGTCCGACTGCCGGGGCCACTCTAAGAGAAAGGTGAGCCGGGGCTGGGCTCGTTTCCAGATAGGACGCCAGAGGGCGCCAGAGCACAGCATGTGCCCTTGGTTCCCATGGCGAGGACAAGGAGGGGGGACCCCTGGACAGGACACCACATCCCTGGAGCTGGGCGTAAGCTCCATGACCCAGCCTCTGTGGCCAAGAGGAACGGGGACTGGAACAAAGTGAAGCCCCTCTCCTTCCCTCCTTGTCTCCCCTTCCTCCCAGCCCAGCCAATCCTGGTCAGGGCCCTCCCTCACACACCCAGCATCCTGCTCTCTTTCCACTGCAGATCTCCTGGGCCCAGCCTGGTGGGCCGAGCTGGGCAGGTCCCTGGGCTAGCTGTGAATTGCCCCAGACGGGCCCCAGACCTGCTCTGACCCGGGCCCTGCTGCCTCCTGCCGGTACTGGGCAGACACTGTTGCTGCAGGCTCTGGTGTATGACGCCATAAAGGTCAGTGTCCTTGGAGGAAGTGTGGGGGTCTCCGTGCACCCCTGGGGCCGTAACTTTCCCCTGAGGACTGTAGCAGGAATAGGGAAGCATGGGAGAAGGGGGGTAATAAGAGTGGGAGGAGTCCCTCGAGTTGGGGAAAGTCCTTCCTCCACTCAAGATTATCATGGATCATGGTGATATGGGTGACCCTGGCCTGAGAGCATTTCGCTCTTCCCCCCATTGCCAGGAAGGAGCCTGGCTGAGGTTGCCTTCATGGAAGTGCAGGACAAAGGTCGATGGGGGAGAATTCCATGTCCCCAGCTGGCCTCCATGTTGCACTGTCCATGTGTCCTCAGCACTGCCCACAAGACGATGTCGTGATGAAGGGTCAGTCCCCCCCAACCACTGCCCCATGCACTGCTCACGACGGCCATCTTGTCTGTGTTCCCTGCTCTGTCCAGGGCACCGGGAGAAAGAAGCCACCCCCTGCCTGCAGGAACCAAGTGGAGGCCGAGGTCATCGTGCACTCTGATTTCAGTGCCTCCCACGGAAGCCCTGATCTTCAACTCCAAGACTTGGAGCCTGAGAGTCCCCTGCCTTCGGAGGCCCCTGACGTGACCTTGGGCATCGTGGGCATCGAGCAGGGGACAGACTGGCTGGACGGGGACCTGGGAGGGAATGAGGCAGCTCCAGGGCCAGACCGACTCACCTGCTCACCAGAGGTAGTCAGCAGTCCCTGCTCCTTCCAGGACCTCCAGCCTAGGGAGACCCTGGAGGAGACCCCCGGGAAGAGCTGCCAGCCCAAAGCCCCTTGCACACTAGGGGCCAGCCCCAGCCTGCCCCGAGCTTCGGTTTCCTCATCTGCTTAGTTTCCTGAAGGGTGCAGTCTTGAGCAGGTCGCTCTGCATCGGGGGTGTGGCATGCAAAGCCACACGTGTGCACTTGTGCATCTATAGCTCCTAAACCCATCAAGCCCTTTGGAGCCTCTTGGGATGCTTGGGCTGGGAGGACAGAGAGCAGAGGAAGAAATGGATCATGAGGACACACAGGTGATGGGTGAGAGACATGGACAACACAGGTGCATGTGATGTGCACATTGGGAAACACATGTACTCGCTCTGGGTGAGCTGGCAAGCTGTGGCCCAGGCAGTGGGCCGTCTGGTTTCATTGGCCCTCCAAGTCAGGGCAGTGCCTCTGAAGGGTCAGTCCCTAGCCTTGTTGTGGGCCCCCAGGCTGGTATTACACACTCTGAGAGTGTCTCCTGGCCCTGGCTGAAGGACAATGACAAGCCAGCTCTCCTGCCTGGTTGGGCTGGGACCCCGACACTCCGAGGGCTGCAGCCACCCTACCTGCCACTCAGTTTTTGTGATTCGGGAAGTGCCTGGTTTGGAAACACTGCTTCTCTTGCTCCCATTGCCCTTTACTGCCTGCCTCCCCACCCCCTACCCCACTTCTGTGGTCCTCACTGTCTGGACATATCCCAGCCCCAGCCTAGACTTTGGCTGTCTCTCATACTTCCCTCTGACCTTGTCATCTGCTTTTCCCTAACAACATGGCTACCTCACATCCGCTTCAAGACCACGGCTGGGCTGCTGTGTCTGCTGGGGACCTCCCCTGGCACACCCTCCTTGGCCTGGACAGACCCAGGCACAGGGCTGGGGAAGACTTGCCAGCTGCCCTGGCATCTTTCCCTTTGGGGTCAGGGTAGGGAGAGATAAGGGACCCAAGTCACATGGGGGAGAGACTTCTTTTTAAGACAGAAAAGGAGGCTGTGACCCCCGAAGCTTAGCATGCCACAACTTCCTCCCACACTAGGAGATGGCTTCCCAGCTGAGGATGAAGGAGGGGAAAGCTTCCTGCCTGTACACCTGCGGCTCCATCCTGAGTTCCAAAAGGGATGCCTTTGCACAGAAAAAGGGTGGTTGGCTCATTTCCTTTTGTGTCCCCTTTCAACTGAATCCTGAAGTCATTTGCCGTTATCCTACCACACAGGGGACAAGCTTGGTGATTATTCTGTGCTTTGTGACAGCTATGTCATTTTTTGATTTTTCACCTCCTCTTCTCACAGGAATATAAACCATGGTTGGGGGGAGGCAATCTTTGCTTCTCTGCTTGTGTCTTTTTCACTGACTGGCACTTCAAGAGTTAACTCTGGCTTCTGGGCCAAATTAGAAATATCCAGTCTATCTTGCCTTTTTCTTTTTTCTTAAAAAAAAAAAAAAAAAGGTGAAATGTCTTGGGCAGAGTGGAGCTTCCTCCGAACCCTAGAGCACCCGTGTTTATTGCACTCAGCCTCGGATGTCACTCATAGTTGACATCTGCACCTACATTTTACCAGCCCAGCCCTCCTCCCGCCGCAGCCAGCCTAGGATAACACTACGGATTATTCATGTTGCACTTGTATCTCGTTAAAGACAGAATTGTCACTTGTTCCATTTCGGCAGCCTTCAGTGTCGCCCGGCGAACAGCACAGTGTATCTTTCCTCATTGCTTTGAAGGTCAGAAGCTTCATTTTTATTTTTTGCTGGTTTGATTCTTTTTTTTTTTTTCCTAAAAAAAGAAAAAAAATGGCCCTGAATTAAGTGGCTGTTTTAACAGCAGGCTCTGAGCATTACAGCACATAGTCATTTTTCATCTTCTTGTTTAACAGGTACCAAGGTTCTGGTTTAAATTAAATAGCTGCAAATGAGACAATTTATAACCCATTAGGTTGGGTGGAAAATTGTTTCTCAAAAGCAAATAAGTAATAAATCTGGTATCTGCCTATAAGTCAGAGTTGATAAGAGAGCAACCGCTCCTCACTAGCGGTGTGTAGGATTGGGCTGTCACTGATTTGGAAGCGTCAGACTTGTATCAGTGGTTTTATTAGAAAAGAACTTCTTGCTCTCTTACAGGGCATTAAGCCCTTCATCCACCTGCCATGGAGGCCTTACTTTTTTGAGTCTCGTTTTATAATCTTCCTTTTTCCCATGCATGACAAGCGTAATCGGTACTTGCTCATTTATCTCTGTTTGTGTGTTATTTTATTTAATTATTTTCCCCAGCATTTTTTTTTTTGCTCCCTCCTTACAATTATATTCTTTAGTGTTAAGCTAAGGCATTGCTCATGTATCATTTCCTCTAATGAATAAACTGTTTTCCAGATTTTGTGTGTGTGTGATTCTCTGCAGAGCCAGTGGTGGGGACTTCCTCAGCCTTTGTACCCTACATAGTTTAACTTCTACCAGGACAGGAAACATTCCTTTGAAGACTTATTTATTTTATTGGAGAAAGAGATTTACAGAGAGGAGGAGAGAGAAATATCACGCCTCTGCTGGTTTACTCCCCAAGTGGCTGCAATGGCCAGAACTGAGCCAATCAGGAGTCAGGAGCTTCCTCTAGGTTTCCCACATGGCTGCAGGATCCCAAGGCTTTGGGTTACCCTCCTTTGCTCGCCCAGGCCACAAGCAAAGAGCCGGATGGCAAGTGGAGGTGCCGGGTATCAGCACTTGCAAGAGGGAAGAGTAACCAATTGAACCATTGTGCCAGCCCCAAGCACAATATATATATACTGGAACAGTAACCCAGTGACTAAAGTCCTCACCTTGCTTGTGCTGGGATTCCACATGGGCACTGGTTTGTGTCCTGATGCCCCCCTTCCCATCCAGCTCCCTGCTTGTGGCCTGGGAAAGTAGTCAAAAATGGCCCAAAGCCTTGGGACCCTGCATGGGAGATCCAAAAGAAATTCTTGGCTCCTGGCTTTGGATGGACTCAGCTCTGGCCATTGCGGCCATCCGGGGAGTGAATCAGTGGATGGAGGATCTTCCTCTCTGCCTTTCCTCTCTGTAAATCTGATCTGCCTTTCCAATAAAAATTAATCTTTTTTTTTTAGATTTATTTGTATTGGGAAGGCAGATTTACAGAACATTTGCTGGTTCACTCTCCAAATGGCTGTAATAACCAGAGCCTCACCAATCCAAAGTATAGTGTCAGAAACTTGTTCCAAGTCTCCCATGCAATTGCAGGGTCCCAAGGCTTTGCTCCATCCTCCATTGCTTTCCCAGGCCACAAGCAGGGAGGTGGATGGGAAGTGGAGCAGCAAGGACACAAATTAGTACACCCGTATGGGATGCTGATGTTTGTGGGTGAAGTTAGTTGAGCTGCCCTTGTGAGATCTTGGCGGTACAGAGGGAGGTTTAGTTCACTGAGCCAAGAGAAAGGCCCCAAATATAAATCAATCTCTCTCTCTCTTAAATTACTCCTGGCTGCACTTCCTATTCTGCGCGCTCTGTCCAGGGGTCAGACTCTACATGTTCACCTTCACCTTCACAGATATTGGGGTCCTTTCACCATGCAGGGGCTCAACAAATTCCACACTACACTCACCCCAGATCACAGCCTGGCAGCTGTGTTGCGTTCTTCAACCAACCTGGATTATGCTCTTTCTTTTGGAGGGGACCAAGAGCCAGGGTGCTGCCCTGTGCAGGATCACCCCCAAAGTGACTGGGCAGAGGGTGAGGGGTAGACCCAGAGTTAATTGACAGGTCCTACAGACAGATATCACATGACTTGCATGCGGCAAGAGAGCCATCGTTTGCGTATCAGTCAAGGGTTGTGATAAAGAAAAGTTAAACACTTGTCAAAATGAATTTAAAGCAACAGTGATTCAGGACAGCCTTGACCTTGCCAGAGTCAGCACTAGCTGGAAAAGCCCTTGTGGAGAATTCCAGCCTTGGCAGAGAGGAGTGCCAGGACCTGGGGGCCAGGCATCTGTCGCCTTACCTGTGGCCTCCACAGCCCCACCAGGAAGTATACTGGGATGAGTGGGTGCGAAGTGGCTTTAGTGTACTGGGACCCTTGACCATCAATTTCTCCACCACCTTCTGTGGCTCTCACGCTCTGCCATGCTTGGCTTTCAGCTGTCCCAGCAGTGTAAGGAGCCCTTGGGCTGTGTGCAAACTCCATCATTAATGACCAGGCCCATCCACAAGCTGTCTGATGTAAACCTGGGTTTGGATTATAGCTTTCCTGCTGCTACTCCCAAACTTCCAGAGCTGGGATCAAAGCCCTAGCCAGGACCAAGCCTGAGGAGCCAAGAGCTGAAGTTACCACCTCCAGAGGGCCACATCCCAGAACTCAGCAGCTGCTGCAGACATGGGCTCACCATCCTATCACATGGTGCTAGCCTTAGAGTCACACCGAATGACCAAGATGCAAGAGCTGGGGTCCACGCGGATAGATGTCTCTTAAGACACAAACCTACTCACCATAGCCTTTTCCTCTGGAAACATGGACGATTTATGGGGCAAGGATGGGCCAGTGGGACGCTAACTTTAAGGGGCTTTTCCAGGGACCAGGCCACGTGGGCCGGTTAAAGGTCTCCAGGGTGCAGCCAGGGATAGAGATCCTCCTCTTGTTTGAGCTTGTGACTACCAGGGGTTGGCTGGGTCACGCAGCAGGTGGACCCGGGAGCGGGACCTGGGCTCCTCCATCATTCTCAGCGAGCCAAGCGCAACCCAGCCCTGGCCAGCGACAGGTCCCCTCAGCCTGAAAAGGCAAATCTTGCAGCTGAACGCCCTGGCATTTGAGTGTAGGAAGCCCGTAGAGTCTTCAACAACTCTGTTCAGCTTTTAGGTAACGATCTCTGAAACCTGCACCGGGGCACCAGGGAGGAGGGCGCGGCGGGCCGAGTGGCTCAGAACAAACCCCGCAGCTGTGCGCGTTTTTCCGCAGTAGAGATTCACTGCCTTGGACCCCTCACCCCTACCCTGAGTCTGGGGCTGGTGGGAGGGGTCCCGGGCAGCCCCGGACGGCGCCGACCGCTCCAGCCACAGTTCAAAGCGCAGGGGGCGCGTCCGCCGCACAGCCGGGAATGTCCGGCCGCTTAAAG